GCTTTTGAACACGTAAATGACGACATTTCTTCAATACGGAACACATTCACTGTTTTGAGGTAATAATAAATATGGAATCGAAACAAAACTTACAAAAATGATCTCTACGGTTATCGTTTGAGAAATCTCTAATGTTTTCCAACTCGTTTGATCAGACAGAAAAAAACAGCTGAATTGAAAAAGGTGAAGAAGAGAGTGAATACTGAGAAAATGATATGTGAACGATAGAAGAAAAGTTCTCCTTTTGGATAAAGTATGGTTTTTTTGGGTGCGTAGTTTTATTGAATTTTTTCTTTTGTTTTTTGAACATAGACTCGATGAAAATAGGAAATTTATTATAAATTGAAGCAAGTTACTTTACTGAAAATTCATAACTGACTCGATGAGTGCATTAACAAAACAAATGATACTCTTTTTGATAAAGAATTGATCCTAGTCAATTCCTTTTCCAAAAAGGAAGAGGAGTTTCGATAGAGAGAGCACAAATTCTCAAGAACAAGCAAAAAATAAAATTAAACGACTGCAGCATGAAAAAAAGAGTGTATACTGACGTGCTTTCTTTGATACTAACTATTTTTTCCATTTTTTTTAGATAGTCTTGTTTTTTTAGAGTAAAAACTTGTTTGTTTGCGCAAAAAAAATTTTGTTCCAAGCATTATAACATTGAAAAAACATTAACTTTTCTCTTTCACCTTTTTACTATAAATTCAATATTTGCATTGCTGGAAGTAAAATTCAGCTCATTTCATTATTCCATTTTCCCTGCTTCTTGTTTTTTGAGAACCTACATTGTTTAGATGTGCATAGTTCCTAGCCGATATCGGTAGATATTAAGTAATGGGCCAACAAATTTACTTCCAATGTCAAGACCAAAAATGGGAACTTGATAATATCTGTTTTGCATCATAAACAACGAAGATTATCAAAAGAAATCTATGGAGGAAGATCCTATTGTAAGAAAAATTCCAACCTGCTTTTGAGAGTACTTCCCATTTATCTTCTGAAATGATAAACTTCTTCTCCTAGGTGCTTTTCGTGGAGCTTTGTGCCGGTTGAGTGATCCTTTCAAACTACTTCATCTAAGAAGAAGAACAGTCATTGTTGATTGTATTTGTACAGTTTAGCCATGGGTAGACTGAGTAAAATCATCATTTTTCAAATACTGTCTGCTTAACATGTTCATTCTCATTACCTCCATTCCGTTTTCTACGGCATACCGAAATTCACATTTGTCCGGCAAGTCCTTAGACATGTGATTATATTTCTGGTTTCATTTTGGGGGGTGCGAGAGCTTTTCTTGATTGCTTTCAACTTTATTCTACGTTGATTCGCTTCCGGTTTGTCAAAATCAGAGACAGGGTAAAATTAAGCACCAAGTAAAGCCGAGTTCGTCTTTTGCTCACTTTGAATATCTATAACTCAGCAAGACAAAGGATTTTTGGTTAGAAAAAACGGCTCTGTTTCAGTTTAGGTGTCCTTTCAACATTTACGTGTCCTTTCAACAAATGAGTGTCCCTAAAAGCAATTAAGTGTCCCTAAAAACAATTAAGTGTCCTAAAAATATAAAAATTACCCCATGAAACAATTAGGTGTCCTTTCAACAATTGAGTGCCCTTTCAACAAATAAGTGTCCTTTCATCGGACTGTCTGCTGACTTAAACAATCAAGTGTCCCTAAAAACAATGGAGTGTCCTAAAAAACAAACAAGTGTCCTTTCCCGGGATCCATGGAACCTTCAACATTTGAGTGTCCTTTCCACAAATAAATGTCCCTAAAAACATTTGAGTGTCCTAAAAGTATATAAATTACCCCATGAAACATTTTGGTGTCTTTTCAACAATTGAGTATCCTTTCAACAAATAAGTGTCCTTTCATCGAACTGTTTTCTGTCTTAAACAATCAAGTGTCCTTAAAAACATTAAAGTGTCCCTAGAAACAAATGAGTGTCCTTTCCAGGGGCTCCATGTCGCTTCCCACATTCAAGTGTCCTTTCAACAATTAAGTATCCTTTCATCAAATAAGTGTCCTTTTTTAGACCAATCGATACTTCGATGAAATTTTGATTTTGTTGTAGTCTTGAAAACGGTTTTT